TTCAGAAATTCGGGACTGCTGAACAATTTGAAAATAAAGGGTATTCACTGCATTAACAGAATGCAGAACAGCCTTAAAAGATGACTTTCATAAAATTCATTAAAAGGATCTGATACATCCATTCATGATTAGAAAAATCATTTGAAAGCTCCAAATGAGAGGTGGGCTTCCTTCAGATGACACAAGTATTATAGAGAAAACATCAAAAGCATTGAAAACAAAATTGGAGGACCTCGTGAGCATTGGAATGTAGTTCCTAGCCAGCTGATGAGGCAAGAAAGTATCATTAACCATAGTCTAGGCATATGGGGAACTGAGGATGGTCTGTGTGGAAACTCGTGTATGTTAAAAGGTTGGCAAGGAGTGGGGAAATGGGAACTGGAAAAGTTTATATTGCAAAAATATCAATTTCCCATGAATCTGCTATATTTGGTCATTTCTATATGATGTCTGTAAAATGAGGTTAGCGGCGTTACTCTTTTGTGTTGGTTTAGTCTTGTTTTGAGACTGTCTGTCTCTACCTCTTGCTATAACCATTGCTGATCTGAAACTCGCTATAGAGATCAGGGTGGCCTGTAGATTGTAGTGACACTCCTGCCTCTGCCTACTGAGTTTCAGGTTATAGGTGTGAGGCACCACACCCAGTTGAATTTTTTTTCTGAAAGTGATTTTAATATTTGATGGTAATAATGCCACTATTGGAGTTCTTTTTTTTTTTTTTTTTTTTGGTTTTTCGAGACAGGGTTTCTCTGTGTAGCCCTGGCTGTCCTGGAACTCACTCTGGAGACCAGGCTGGCCTCGAACTCAGAAATCCACCTGCCTCTGCCTCCTAAGTGCTGGGGTTAAAGGTGTATGCCACCACCGCCCGGCTCACTATTGGAATTCTTAACATGCTTTGGTGTCAAACTAATTAAAATGGCATTTGGAATAATGAATGACTTATCTTGTACTAATTGTCTGGCTACTCCCCATACATCATATACACACAATAATAAACAATAGAATATGAACAAATAATATAAAGATCAATAAACCTAAAGCTGGCTCTTTGAAACTATCAATAAAATGGATAAACCTCTAGGTAGACGGATGGAGGAGAAAAGTGAAGAAGATAAAGACAATCACTATCAGGAGTAAAGGAGGACACATCGTATAGATGATGGAGATTATTCGTGTGTCTCTGTGTGTGCTGTTATGTGTGTTTTTATTTTTCTTGTGTTTTTTTTTTTTTTTTACTTTTGTTGTTTTTTTGTTTGTTTGGACAGAGTTTCTCTGGGTAGCCCTGGCAATCCTGGAACTTACTGTGTAGCCCAGGCTGTCCTCCAACTTAGAAATCTGTGTGCCTCTGCCCCCCAAGTGCTGGGATTAAAATGGATTAAAGGTGTGTGCAACCAATGAATGTCTGGTTACTTTTCTTGTTTTAAAAAAACAACTTTTTAGATTTATTTTGGGAGGAGGGCACATGCACCACTACGTGAATGTGGAAGTCAGAGGACAACTTGTAGGAATCTCCTTCTAACGTGTGAGTTTGGGGGAGTCCAACTCAAGTTTTCTGGCTTGTCAACAGCAAGTGCCTTTTCTTGCTAAGCCGTCTTATTTTTCCTGTTTTCAAAAGTATCGAAATTACAAATAACTCTATGGAAAGCCTTTAGGGGTATTTTTCTGGGAGATCAAGGACTGGAGAAGCCAGAAACATAGAGCCAATAGGTCATAGAAGATGGTCTACTACCAGATTTGGGGCTCATCTCCTAGCAGGAAGGATCAGATAGCCAGTTCTGTCCTCAATGGCATGAACGGGCAGTTGATCTCTTCCAGGGCTCAGTTCACATTTTCTTCTGAGTGGCTCAAAGAGCGAAGATGCATGCTAAAATGGGTCTTTATATCTAGAAGGGAGAGTTTGCCAAGATTGCCTGACTTAGAACAGGGCAGAGCTCCAAATGTATTGAGTTTGCCTCTAGCTCTTGCCAAAGTTGTATCAGGCTCTTTTCAAAGCCATTTCATTCCGTTTTACCAGCACTGTAGGTCACACACACACACAGAGTGGTACTTTGGGCTTTTGTAATCAGAAAACAGACATTCCATGCTGCCCCAGCAGGGATCCCTTACGGTGCTGAAGTTAGATGAGCCCTCGCCTTGGCAAAGAGCCCCTTCTGGTATGGTGGAGGACTGGAGAAGAGCCTTCCTTGAGTCCTAGTGTAAACAGCCCTGCCACGAACCAATTAGTCAATGCACAGCTCTGTGGAAGAGCCTGGTAGGTTCTTCTTCCTTTCCACATTTCTGATGCACCCCAGAGCATAGGATAGACTGTGTTCTGGATGACAAAAAGGTTACTTCTGACCCCTTCACCTCCATCACCCTTTCATTTGCTCCTTCACCTGCCTTCCTCCTGTTTCTTGTAGATACTTTGTAATTTCCTGTTGGTTTAGCTATAGTGTTCCTTGTATATATTGTGATATTTTGTTTGCTTGTTCTTTTGTTTCAGATAGGGTCTCATGTAGCCCGGATTGGCCTTAAACTCCTAAAGTAGCCCAGGATGATCTTGAGTGTCTGATCCTTCTGCCTCTACTTCCTGAGTGGTAGGATTACAGAGATGTATCACAATGCCAAGCATGTTTTTCTTGTTCTTGTTCTAATTATTGCTGTCCCTGTCTCCCTCTGCCTCTCCCTTTCCCCTCTCCCCCCTCCCCCAAGAAATGGACATTTCTCCTAAACTCCCAGGCTCAAGTCATTCTCCTGAGGCAGCTTTGAGTAGCTGAGACTACAGATTCATGTCACTATGTCCTGCTGGGTGGATCTTTGCCTGGTACTTTTAATGTCTAAGCATTCTGTTATCTAGACACGAGTTAGTCTACTGGAATCTCCATTTTAACGGTTTGAATGAAGTATAGAAATCTTCCTCTTTTGATAACTCAACACTCCCCCATTTATAATTATGCTAACAATTTCCTCTACATGTATTAAAAACTACAAAAGCCAGCGCTGTAACGATTGCTTTACTGGTTAAACATGATTTAGAAAGGCCAAGATGAGAGAAAATGTCTATTGTATTTATCTCCCCTTTTATTCGGTCATTTTTCCTTCCTTCCTGAGATCTAAGATTTCCCCTGTCATCTATATTTATCAAGATTATCATGGTTCTTATTTGCTATGCTGGGAAAGTAAACCCAGGGTCCCTCCTGCCTCAGACTGCCAAGTGTGGCACATGAGACCCACCATGCCTGACTAAATTGCTTTTCAGCATTTGAGAAACATGGCAGTTTTCTTCCACTGTTTTCTGCTTTCTCGTATTTTTCATCTTTAGATAGCATGTTTTCCTCTGGGTGCTTACATTAGTTTGTATTAATTTTCAGAAGCTTGGCTTTAATAAATCCCAGATTTTTGTTGTTGTTAATCTTGCTTAAAATTTTCTCAGGTTTGCCCTACAGTGGTGGTGAATATGTTTAATTCCAGCACTAGAGGCAGAAGCAGGCTGGATCTCTGTGAGTTGGAGGACAGCCTGGTCTACAAACAGAGTGAGTTCCAGGATAGCCAGAGCTACACAGAGAAACTATGTCCCAAAAACCAACACAGACACACATACTCTTGCATTTATATGTTTATGCCTTTTTGGCAAATTTCAGAAAATTTAGGCATTAATTCTTTGACTATTTTAATTTCATCTTTCTCTCTTGAAACTCTCATGATCAAAAAAATTAAGATTTTATATATTATCTTTCATGTCCCTGAAGGTCTGTTCTTTTTTCCAGTATATTTTCTCTCCTTGCTTAAATAGAGTAAATTCTATTCTAACATCCAGTTCTGATTTTCTCCCCAGACTTTTTTTTTTTTTTTTTTGAGACAGGGTTTCTCTTTGGAGCCCTGCCTGTCCTGGAACTCACTCTGTAGACTAGGCTGGCCTCGAACTCAGAATCTGCCTGCCTCTGCCTCCCAAGTGCTGGGATTTAAGGCATGCGGCTCCCCAGACTTTTAGATTCTGTTATTGAGTCTAATTATTTCTGCTTGTAAGCTATTGTAATTTTTAGTTAAAAAAATGCAGTTTGACTTTTGAGACTTTCCTCCCCATTTGTTTCAAACAAACATGATTACAAAAATCCCATTACACTTTTTTTTTTAAAATGACAGCTGTTTTTAAATCCTTGTCGGTTGATTCTAACAATCCTGTCATCTTAGTGAATTGTCGTTTCTCACTCAAGCTGAGAATTCCCGGATTCTTAGTATGGAGAATACTTTTCAAAAACTGACGTTATGTTAGGCAAATACTATGTTTCAGCAAGTCTCTCCTACGCAGCTCAAACTAACCAGCTACGGGCAGGGAAGGGTTAAGTGCCAGATTCTGAGAGCAGCGTTTGCTGACGTGTGCGCACGCGCGCGCCTGCACCTGCGCCTGCGCTCCTGGACTGCGTGTGACTGCCTGGCGGGGCGGCGCGGCGCGGGGCAGGGCGGGGCGGGGCGGGGCGAGACGGTTTGCTGGCTCCACTCTAGGCGGCTAACCGCCAGTCGCCTTGCGCTCTGTGGCGTCTCGACGTTGCCTCCAGTAATCTGGCGGTCGCTAGGAACTCGTCAGCGCTGCGAGGGGGTGAAAGTTCAGACCCTGGGCTGGGTGACGTCAGCGGAGGGGGCGGGACGCCTCGGTCCTAGTCAGCGGAGGGGAAAGTCCGGGCTGTTTCAGCCGAGCCAAGGAATGGGAGGCGCCCTAGCCTCCCCGCAGGCCACAGCGCTGGGAGTCCTGCCTTCCCTGCTATCTCCCTGAGGCAAGGGGTGTGTGGGAATGTCTCTTTACTGTTGTAAGGCTCGAGCCTTTCCTGCTTAAGGGTGGGGCCACACAGGCTGTTGAGATTTTTCCCTCTTGTCGTGTTTGGCTGAAATGGAGCAGTCATTGTGCAGAAATTTTCTGTCTAGATAGAAAAAGCAGACTTTTCTTGCAGGGTGGGTTTTTTGTTTGGTTTGTTTTTAATTTTTTTTTTCTGTCTGTGCCTGCTCTTTCTGGGGTGCTGGCTTCTCCAAAACCAGTCTGGAAGGTATGGAAACCCATAGTCATGTGTTCATCAGGTCCGGTAGCCCTCAGTAGCTCTGCTTTTCATCTCCACCTTATTTTATTCCTAAAATTAGGCATTTTGTGTGTTTTCAGTGGTACTGGGAAAAACGCATTTTACTCCATTTTTCTTACTCCATTTTTCTAGAGGCCTAGGGCCCTAACAGGATTTTTTTCATACGTCATCACAACCATGAGAGGATGTGCACAGGCTTGGTAGGCCTTGTCAACTGAATGGGAATCCATAAGTGACTAAGAAGACATTTTACAAAATCAGTTTCTTGGTTGTTTTTTTTTTATTTTTTTATTTTTTGGGGTTTTGTTTTGTTTTTTTTTTTTTGTCTTTAAAAAAATTGAAAAGATACATCCCTGCCAACAATTTTCTGTTTCTCTGCTTTCAAGATTATGTAAGAGGAAAGAACCATGGTTTCAGGGAAAGGACAATAAAGTCAGTTCTAGGAGTTTCTGTGTTTTTACTAAGGTGAGATTAGTTTATAAGGATGTGTATATATTTAAAATATATGATTGCATACAAACACACATGCACGCACGAACCACTACAGCATCGCCACAAACAAAACTGTGAACAAATCTATCACCTCAAAAATTTCCTAATTTTCCTTTCAAATTCCTCTTCAGTCTTCCCTACCTGAAACCTCACCCCAGGCAGTCAGGGCTCAGGCTCTTGCTATGTAGCCCAGGCTGGCCTCCAACTGACCATCTTCAGGCTTCAGCCTCCTAGGTACTGGGATTACAGGCTGGCCATATCACACTCATATTACTGATTTACTTCCTATCACAAAATAAATGTACATTGTTTAGAATTTTGTATAACTGTAATATAATAATTATTGGCTGGCTTCTTTCACACATGATAATTCATTTGCAATTCATCCATTTTACTATACGTATTGATAGTTTTTCTCTCTTTTTAAAGATTCCTATGTGTGGCTGTATGACAACGTGGCTAGCCTTTCATTTGTTGATGGACATTCCAGTTGTTCCCAATTTTGGGCTGTTATAAATAAAGTGGCTCTGAACATTCATATGCAACTCTTTTGTATAGATATATGCTTTCTTTGCTTGTGGCTAAATAGGAATAAAATAGCTGGATCATAAAATAGGCATGTGTTTAATATTCTCTCCCTTTTTCTGTGTGAATACAGGTTGGAGGTTAACACGGAGTGTTTCTCAATCAGTGTGTCACTGACCCTGGAGCTCACTGACTCTGCTAGACTGGGTAGGTAGCCAGCAAACCCTACAGCCCCTCTTATCTCTCAGCTTCTCCAGGATTGTGAATACATGCATCTATCACCATGCTTAGGTTTGTTATTTTACTTTGCTTTTTGATGAGGTATCACTCTGTATCCCTGGATGCCCTAGTACTGAGTAAGTAGATCAGGCCTCTGTCTCCAGAGTGCTGTGATTAAAAGCAGGTACCACTCATGTTCAGGTTTTTTTTACACGGGTTCTGGGACAAACTTGGTTGCTTGCATAGCAACTGCTAGATATTTTACCACATGAGTATTTCATTTGACACTTCTCCCAGCAATGTATGAGAGTTCCCATTTTTTCTGTATCCTTGCCATGCCCTGTACATTTCTTTGCATTTTTTGCCATTTTAATAAGTCAGAGTAGTATCTTGCGCTCTTTACGTGTCCCTAATGATAGTAATGAGACCAAGCCTCTTTCCAAGTGCTTTTTGGCAACTTAGGTGCCTTCTTCAACAAAGTGTCTGGGTTTGTTCCTTATTAGTGTTCCAGAGTTCTTTATATATTTTAGGCATAAATCCCTTACTAAAGACATGTCTGATCATTTCAAATTGCCAGACAATCCAGCAATCCCACTTTCAGGTACAGATACAAAAGAACTGAAAACAAAGACTCAGAGAAATGTTTTATAGCATTTACAGAAATCTAAGTGCTTATAAATCCATAAATATCTACAGAAAGTGTGCTGTGACCATACAATGGAATACTGTTTCTGTGTTTTTGTTTTTTTCGTTTTTAAAGGACGTTCTGACAATTGCTCCAGCACGAATGAACCTTGAGGGCATTGAGCCAAGTGAAATAAGCCAGTAACAGAAAGACAAAAAGTCCTGATCACACTTAAATAAGGTAAGTAGAAGTGTCAAGTATGGAGAGACAGAAAGCAGAATGCTAGCTGTTAGGGAGTGTGGGGAGCGCAGAAAGGGGATTTGTTGTTGAATGGATGTCGAGTTTCAGTTTGGCAAAAGGAAAAGGTGAGGCTGGGGACATTGCTTGCTAGCAGAACACTCACCTAGCATGTCTGAGACCTGAGTTCAGGGTCCAGCAACTCATGCACACACACACACATACATACTCACACACATGAGAAGGAAGGGAAGCTACCTTTTACTAAAAATTGATTTATTTTTATTTTATGTGTGTGTGTGCCTGAGTTGCAAGTGTCCACTGAGTGCCGAAGAAGGTGTGGCATCTCCTGGAACTCGAGTTGCATGTGGTTGTGATGGTGTGCTGAGCTGTACTCAGGCCCTCAGCAGTAGCAGCAAGTACTTAAGCACTAAGCCGGTTCTCCAGCCCACTATATGTGTTTTGAACCATGTAATACATCATAGTGACTTTTGTTTAGACAGCCAATTATCTTTTTAAGATATTTACATCAATAAAAGATATTTTGAAAATGTTTATAGGGCTCGGGTGTGGCTCAGTTGTAGAACACTTACCTACATAATGCCATGGTTTCCATTGTCAGCAGTGCAAAAAGAAATAAATGAACTTATATTTATCAAATTTGTTAAGCATTCCTGGCTTCATTCATTTGTATAGCTTCAGACTGCCATCTGCTATAAATTTTCTTCTCCCTGAAGGAAACATGAACATTTCTTGAACTGTAAATGGTCTTCACCAGCAAGCCCCTCTTTTTTCTTTTCCGTTCTTTTGAGATCAGACTCTCATATATCTCAGGCTGACCTTGAAGTTGCTAGCTAGCAACCATGGATGCCTTTGAATTTCTGATCTTCTTTGCTCTACTGTCTGAGTGCTGAGATTACAGACTTGTATCACCAGATTTATGTGGTGCTTCGGATCTAGTTAAGGGCCTGTGCACGCTAGGTAAACACTATCAACTAAGCTGTACACCTATACCTAACTTCCATTTAGTTTTGTATTTAAATTTTGGTAGTTTGCATGACTGCATCTTCAAGTCCACTAATTTTTTCTTTCTCATGAGGATGAATGACACCTAAAAAACCAATCAATCAAATAAAAAACCAAAAAAAACAAAACCAAAACCAAAAAACCCACAAAACCAGAAAACACAAACCTTATAGCATTGGAGTTAATAGTGAAGTATTGGACATTGTTCCTTAAATTAGAAGTCAGGCAATAATGTCCATTCTCTCTACTTCAAAGCATGCAGATCAGAATGGAGTTGGTGAAACTGTCTCTGGTTGCACACGACACAACTGTCTCTTTAGAAAACCTTTAGGAATACACCCAACCACTGCTGACCAAATTTTTCAAGTCACAGAATACAAAGTTCATGTTTCCAAAACTCAGTTTTACTTTGATATGCTACCCAAAAACAATTGAAAAATACAATTTTTAAAATGTCATTCCATGTGTAATCTCATCAAAACCATTCAAATAGTTAAATAAATTTAATGTGTATAAACCTCAATGCAACGAAACATTTTTTAGAGAAAGGAAAGGGAAATGAAGTAAATAATGAGCTAGGCCATCCCCACAAATTGAAAGCCCCAGAAGTGTTGGCTTGCCAGTCTTCCCTGATTTGATGTCTAGATTCAAGGCAGTCCATATCTAGATAGCAACAGTTGTTTGGGTAAATATTGAAAATCTAGTTCTAAAGTTTATGTGGAAACGTAAAGGACCTAGAATGTGCAAAAACTTATTTTGAAAAAGAATTCTTCTCAGCCAGGGAGCTAGGTCAGTGGATAAAGGTGATGACTGCTGAATTAGATCTGGACCCCACATGGTGGGAGGGGAGAACTGACTCCTACAAGGTGCTTCTAACCACCACAACTGGCATGCTTGTGCATGAACTCATGTTTCTTTCTCTCTCTCTCTCTCTCTCTCTCTCTCTCTAACACACACACAAATACAATTTTATAAATAAAAATTTAAAAATTACTCCTCAAACAAGCTGGGTCAAATTATCTTTTTTTTTTTAATTTTAAAAATGTTGTAGATCAGTACCTGATTCTCTGCATTCTTTACAATTTTGGTAACTCTGGACATCATCAATTTTTTTTTTTTACCTGTCTGATGTTTGAAAAAAATGTTTGAATTTGCTGGTGGGGTTGAGAGTCTTTAATATTTTATTAGCAATATGGTTTTTCTTTTGTAAATTGCTCTTTCATTGTAAAAATTCTATGCCTTCTCTTAAGAACTTGATTTTTTTCCTAATCCATTTGTTACATTCTCAGGACTCAATCTTTTGTCAGTTCTGTTGAAGATACAAAAGACTGGGCCAGAAAGGATTTTTTTTTTTCTGAAACAGGGTCTCACATTGGGTAACCCTAGCTGGCCTGAATCCCCCTGCCTCTGCTTCCTGGGGCCATGTGCTACCACACCCAGTTTAAAGGGTTTTTTGTTTGTTTGTTTGTTTTTTAAAGCATCCTGTGGTTAACATAATTTTTTAAACTTAGATGTATAATGTGTATAACCCTTTCTGTATGGCTTCTGCTTTTTAAGTCTTATTTAAGAAATTTTCCCTTAACTGCCTGGCATACTGAAGCAGGCTTGATCTTTTTTAGCACTTGAAAGGTAAAGGCAAGACTGGGGTTCAAGGTCACTTGCAGTTACATAGGGCATTATGCATCGGTTTGGGGCTGAGGTTGACCCTTAGTCTCAAGAAAACAGAAACCAAAACCAGAAACGAAATTCTATATCACAGGGTCAAAAAAACATTCTTAGATTATCTATTAAAATGTTTCCCAGATGTATTTTCTGTGCTTATAGAGAATCTGTGTAAGACAAAAACAGGATGACATCATGCATACTGCTTTCTAACCTGTTGTTATGTAGCAATATATTTTGAACATCCTTTCATTTGAATAAATGTATCGCTAGTGTTGTGGGTGGGGTTTCCCGGGAAACAGACTCTGGAGACAAGAGATTTGTGTTCAGGAAGCTTATCCGGGAGTGCTTTCGAGACTGACAAGCATTCAAGCTCCAGTGGGGGAAGGGAATGAAACAGGATTAGATTGGAGAGGACCAGGCGGTGCTGCAGTCGTCACAACGGCTGGAGCTTGGGTTTAGAATTCCCTTCATCACTGTTCCCATTCGAAGAAAGAAAGCTGGGGCATTTGTTTGATGCAGGCTGTCTGTCCCTGGGGAAGAGCTGGGGGTGTCACTAGGCAGGGCAACTGCCTTCTTGTATCATTCCCAGAGCCAGCCAGCAAGCGGGCAGATTAAGGCTGGTGCAGGCTGGTAACCCTACTGATAGCTAGGAGCCTTAAAGGAGGGGCATCTGAAGACGGCCTCACAGCTCACCACCTTTAAAGACACTGCTTGCTCCAAGCTGCAGAAAACACCACCCAGCACTCTCTCTCTCATCAGGTTTGCAATAGGTGATTCTTGGCAAAAAGGTATCAGTCCCTTTCATGAGGAAAGCAAAAACTTTTGGAGAGGTGCCCAGTAGGCTCTCACATTTCATTGACCTTAACTAAAATGTTAGGTGCAGGGGGAGCAGTTAAAGTGGGGTCAGGGTTGCCCTGATTTTATGCCTTGAGTAGAGAGCATTGCTGCTCAGAACAATACTTTAGCATAGAGGAAGAACGCAAAAGATTTCTGACAGTATCGGCCACAAAATGGAGTTCTATACACATATTTTGAATAATCACATCTGCTTTAATGCCACAGATTTCATATTGACTGGCATTTGGATGTCTATAACATTATGTTGTGAGCCGGGCAGTGGTGGTGCACACCTTTAATCCTAGCACTTGGGAGGCAGAGGCAGGCGGATTTCTGAGTTTGAGGCCAGCCTGGTCTACAGAGTAAGTTCCAGGACAGCCAGGACTATACAGAGAAACCCTGTCTTGAAAAAACAAAAACAAACAAACAAACAACCATTATGTTGTGATCCACTGTATTGATATTAACAGCTTAGTAATTTTTCCCTGCCCATATCTTCCATCGTTTCTTCAGGATTGTCCTAGGTTGCTTTCTGTCTCAGCAAACACTAGGACATAAAGCAACTTGGAAGAATTTGTTTTAGATTGCATGTTACTGTCCATAACTGAGGGGAAGCCAGGCAAGGACCTGGAGGCAGGAGGCCATGGAGGAACACTGCTTCCTGGTTTGCCCCCCCCCCATGGCTTAGCCTGCTATTTTTATACCACCTAGGACTACCCCCACCCATGGCTGCAGTGGTGGGCTGGGCCATCCCACAGTCAATCATCAATCAAGAGAATGCCTTCACAGCCATGCCTAGCAGGCCAATCTGATGAAGGCACTTCCTTAGTTGAGGTTTCCTTTTCCCAGGTGACAGAAAGTAACCAGAGCTAGAATGAAACACTAAGTATATCACTTGGAAGTGGACCTTTAAAAAAAGTATGATGTAGAATACCAAGAAGTACCATGGAAAACCTCTATGTGTGCTTTCCTTGAGCAGTAGATGAAGAGGCTGATTTTTTTCCCTGCATCCTTTTAGACACTGGATTTTAACATTTTCATTAGTTGTATATTCTTTTTTTTTCTTTATAAATACCCTGCCTTCACTCTCAGTTTAGATTGATTTTATTGGCTATATGTGCTTGGGGAGGGGGGTGTTTGTCTGTTTGTTGTTTTGTTTGCATTATAGTCCAAAAATGTGTTTTGAAATCTTAACTCTGGAAAGCTTTGAGACACCATCTATCATGTATTCTTTGTACTACAAGGGTTAATTTCAGCAGATCTGCCTGGTTTTGCTGGTCAAGACATAAAACATACTAATTAACAGTACTTTTTAAGCATTAGCCCAAGGAATTTCAGGGCATTTTGACCCAGTTTGTTATATTTGTTTATGAATAACAATGAGATTGATGATTGCTTACCAGTCTTACTGCTACAAACCTTTGTCAGCACAGGGCTCTGATATTCAGAAAAATAGCTAGGTGTTTAAATATTAG